GGGGGTGGAAGGCTGGAGGGCACGGGGCTGCCCAGCGGCCGGGGTGTCCCTGCTGCCTCCCGTGCCGCCTGACCGGGCTCCTCACCCTGCGCTTTACCTTTTCTAGATGAAGACGGCGACCTGATCGCTTTTTCCACCGACGAGGAGCTGGAGATGGCGATGCCTTATGTGCAGGATGGCGTCTTCCGTGTGTACATCAAAGGTAATGCCAGCTCCCGAGGGCGGTAGCAGGTCTCCAGCTTTGCACTCTGTGCTTGCAGGCAGGCCTCCGAAAATGTGAGGAGCAAGCCCTGGCCCTTCCCCTTGTCCTCAAGGGCCTGGGGTAACCTGCAGCCTTCGAGGGGGGAGGTTAAATAAAGGGTAGGGTAATAATGCCAGAATACGAGTCCTCCCTGCTGAGGTGGGGCAGATGGATCACCAATTTCCTCCTAGCCCTGTCAGCTGGCCCAGTGCAAGCCACTGTTGTCAGGCTGTCTCCCTGGCAACGCTAGACTAGCACTGGTATCTTTAATATTCACAGCAGTGTGTTAGGAAGCCTTAATTTCAGCTTATTGTTCAGCACCTAGTTGTTCTGTAGTCCCTTCTGTTCACATAGGTACCTGCAAAGCTTCGTCTGCAGTCCATCTAATGAGTCACACGAGCCAGCACCGTTGTCCCCATTCTCATCTGTTACGCCTCCTGGCATTGCTTCCTAACTCCCCCTCCAGAAACATTTTGGTTTTGCAGTGCTTAGGAAGGTAGGATGTGAAGCCAAATGGGGTAGTGCAGTACTAATCTAAAATAAACACGCCAAGAGATTGTTAAGCGTAAGGCATGCTCAGTTTGAGGAGCAGGTATCTTTGTGAAACCCCTTTGCACTTGGTTTAAGCTCTCTTGCATGCCCCCAGCTCATGTTTGGCAGCTGGCGTAAAAATAAACTGACCTGGTAAGTCAATACTGCTCTGACAAGGGCTGTTTGTGCTTCCTTCTCCTCTGCCTAATTCCCAGCCTTTAAATAGTAACCTTGTTCTTGATGCAAAGTTTCCTTTCCTAAATAGAGAAAAAGGAGTGCAGGCGGGAACATCGCTCGCAGTGCAGCCAGGAGCCTCCCCGCGACATGGTGCACCCCAATGTGATCTGCGATGGCTGCGAGGGGCCGGTGGTGGGTGCCAGGTTCAAATGCACTGTCTGTCCAGACTACGACCTGTGCAGCACCTGTGAGGGTAAAGGCATCCACAAGGAGCACAACATGGTGATGTTTCAAAGTCCACTGCTAAACCCATTTGAGGTGAGCAAAATCTACGGAGGGGAACTAATGAATGGGATATTCCTCAAATTTAAGTCACAAGTTTTAGTTACTCAGAATCTGGCTGTGTGAACGGAGTCACATGAGTGTTACCCTTTGCAGTGGCTTCCCCGAGGACGCTGGCTCCGTAAAATGCGGCATGGTGTTCCACCCTTCCCGTGGATGCACTGCTGGGGATATCCTGGCCCTGCAGCTCCATGCCAGAACTCGGAACAAGCCCAAGCCAGCACTGCGGCCTCCAGTCCACCTGCTGCAGAAGGTAAGAGGAGATACTCTGGTAAACAAGGTGGTTCTGCAGCATAGGGTGGCATCTGGGTGGGAAAACAGACATAGGAACTAATCTAATTTGCTTGAAATATAATTATCACCTTTCAGCACAGTGTGGGATTATTGTAAGGCATGCTTGGGCCCATGCAATAGATGAGGGTGCAGAGACTATCTGGAACCAAACCAGGCCAAGCTGTTAGGTCAAGCATGTCACTACTCCAGATCTGCCTTTCAGCATGGCTAATGAGCCTTAACAATGCTAATGCCACTGGTTTTCTGTTCCAGAGGTAGCTCAGAGTAGCTTAGTTTTTGTCTCTGTGCTGCCTTTGTTGTGCAGTGTATGTGAGTGATGGGAAATGAGCACCAAGACCTCATGGGGATACACTCTGTAGAGGTCTGTGCAAACAGAAATTGTTTTTCTAGAAGCTTCTACTAACAGCCAGCCTCAGGACCCCAATGTCACCTTCTTAAAGAATGTTGGGGAGAGTGTTGCGGCTTTTCTGAGCCCCCTGGGTAAGTGACTTAGTTCTTTATCCCAATCCCTGAGACTGGCTTAAAGGTCCCTTTAACAGGAGCAGCAGTCAGCTGTTTGACTGATACCAGAACTACCTGATGCTACTAAGCCTTGGAGGCTTAATTTATTCCTGGTACTAATAATGCTTAGGCTTAAAACAGCCACTCAGTAGCTTTTCAGAGCTCTCCTTTGGAAGGAAATGAGGAAAGATTTCATTAACATGTCACTGCTGTAACACTGATTTTTAAGTCGGCGGTGACTCAGGATTTTGCCTGGCTTATGTGGACATAGGTAACTTCTGACCCTCTAAATGTGTGGCTTGTCTATCTAGAGGAAGATGACTATGTGGTGCTGAACTAGTCTTTGTTTATAGAATGCTTTGCACTTAATTTATACATATTACATAGCAAACCGTAGAATTACAGAAACCTTGTGGCATTTAGACTAGGATTGATCCATACTCTTTTAGGACTGTGCTTTGGAAAAATGTCTTGTAAGATTTTCTCAGTCTCAAATGCATTTCTAGGTATTGAAGTTGATATTGATGTGGAACATGGAGGACAGAGAAGCAAAGTGACTCCTGCTTCTCCCAATCAAGAGAAGAACAGTGCAGAGTCAAACAGCAGTACTCTTACCCAGAATGTTCAGAACAAACCAGACTGGAATAACACAGATCCTACTACAGAAGTAAATGCTGTTGCGGAGCAGATACAAGACATGGTGATAGATCCTGTGCCCACACAAATGGAAGATGGCAGCTTCCAGTCCCAGGTACAAGAACTACAACACTAAATGAATATGCTTGCTGAGGCTTTACTAGAAAGGAAGATGATCATTTAGCATGCATTGTGGGGTTTGATACTAAGATGTCAGCAGATTAAGTGATATACAGCACCTTTGCTTTACAGGTTTACAGTAAAGGTCGTGGGACTTCTTATGGATGTAACTCTTCATATTAAAGGCAGTAGTAGGAACATGCATCCTACCTGGAAAGTACTGCAGCACCTGGACCTTTTTTCTTTTCATTTTAGGAAAACAGCGAGTCCAGCAGTTCATCAGGGGGTGATGAGGACTGGACCCACTTATCTTCCAAAGAAGTGGATCCTTCCACAGGTGAACTGCAGTCTCTGCAAATGCCAGATGCAGAGGGTCCCAGCTCCCTGGATGTACCTCAGGATCCTCCCCAACCAGGACCTACAGGACTGCGAGAAGCTGCACTCTACCCACATCTCCCACCAGGTATGAGAATGTATGCAGGTTTCATAAACGAGTAATTTTTTCACTCAGGAACTGCCACCTTGCCTGACATAAGCAGACCTGCTTTAAGAGATGGTAGAAACCAAGGTCACATAAGTTACAGCTAAAGTTGTCCATAACTTTGCTAGCAGGTAATGGCAGCTCTTGCACCCTGTTAGAGAGGTGGTTCTCCTCTTGGACATGGGTAGCTATGTCTTAACAAGACTTCTGACCTTAGACTAACATGCTGTTCAAGCAACATGAAAAAAGGTGGTATCCTAAATCACATCCTTGCTATGTACTCTTGAAGAGACCCCTTTAATGCAGGATGCAGACTAGTACATCCTGTGACTTTAACTGTTTTTCTGGTGGGAGCCAGGCCACTTAACCCTGAGATCAACAGCACAGAGTCCTACAGCAAGGCCAGCTGAGTCAGACTCAGCAGTTTTCTTAGCTGGGTATGTGTCTTATCTCAAACATCTGCCCTTCTGGGAGACAAAAGGAAAGCATGTCTTCTAGCATTTGACCAGCTGTACTAGATTTACTAGGATTAGTGCCAGCCTAATACCATATGGTAGGTAAAGTCAGTTACATGAAATACTTAAAACTCTTACACTATTCTCTTAACAGAAGCGGATCCTCGCCTCATTGAATCCCTGTCCCAGATGCTCTCTATGGGCTTCTCGGATGAGGGTGGATGGCTCACTCGACTCCTGCAGACAAAGAACTGCGATATCGGGGCAGCACTAGATGCCATCCAGTATTCCAAGCAGCCACCTCACTTGTAGCAGCCTGTGTAACAAAACCCACTTTCCTTCTAACTGAAAGCAAACAAGGCAGTACAACTTAACACAGCGGTTCATCTTTCTTCCTGCTAAGGGTTTCTGTGTCATGTTCCTAAGTGCTTGTAGAATGGAGGAAAAATAAATACTAGTTCCTGTGATGAGCCTCTGTGTGTGAGTGTTTTAAGTATCACAGCTCTATTACTTAGCCAAGTCCTTTCCAGTCTTTTGACTATGAGCATGTGATTTCATCAAGCAGGGCCCTGTGCAGGGGAGGCAGCCTGCGACTGTAGGCCTGCCTTTTTGCACATACCTTTGTGTACCCCCTTAGCGCTATGCTCTGAAGAGAAATCAAATGCTTTGTGGGCTCTGCAGCTCTGGAAGAACAGGTTGCTATGGGAGATCTAAACAAAGAGGTAGCACAGGGGAGAAGAGCTGCAGTTTGTAATGGGGAACTAATCACAGAATTTAATTGTGCTGGCCAGGAATTCTTGGAGCTTTTTCCCCCCAAGCTGACCTACTTCCATTCTTACTTCTAGCTGATGAGGTTGCTAGACAACACTGTGTAACTCTAGTACTTGCCCACTGTAACTAGTTCTTCCACCCTCATACCCTCCCCTCAAACACAGCCATAGTGCAAGTAAACAACTTTAATAGTGCAAGTTCTGTAAGGCTTAGAGCAAAGCCATCTTCAGGTCAAAATCTTGCCTCAGAACTCAACATACCAAATACATTATAGAGACAAACAAGAAAGCACTGTCAAAGATGGCTGAACTTCTCAGAGATCATCATCAAACTCCTCACCTGTGCAGAAGAGGTGTTCACAAGAAACACTGCTAGGCTTTGGCTCAGTGTTAGAGTTAACAAGTGTGTTTGCCTGCCTCATGCTATCCAAACACCACCTTCCTGCAGTGGTGTCTAAGACACCAGATCCTGGGCTCTGAGGTTCTTTGAACAACACATCCTCCTCAACTGAGCAACTGGAACTGGGCACCATGGTGCCAGGCAGTTTTGAGGCACGCTGCTCAGTGCCAGCAACACACTTTTTAAATTCAAAACCTGTACCTTGACATCGAGTTCTTCCAGCCTGTTCTGAGCATCTACTGGCCATACTGGAATCTGCTGCAGTGGTGCTGTGCAGCCCCAACCTTCCACTGCCCTCCTGTGGTGACAAGGTGACCCTGGCAGCATTTTCACTGTAGCTGTCAGAACATGAGAGAAATTTTTCCCACTTCGAGGCCTTGGAACAAGCAGTTGGATTTTGTGTATTCTCCTCAGGCACTACAGGCTCACAGACAGCAGGAACCACACTATCTCCAGAAACAGCATCTCCGTCATCTTGATCAGGCACTGCTACTGAACATTCCTTGCGCTGTAGGAAGAAAGAGAGCTTGGTTATAAACCCCACATGCACAGCCAAGCTGCACAGAAGCAGGCAAAAAAAGAGCACTTTGGTCCTTCAAATGCACCCAAATTCTCATCAGCTCTCTGAGACAGAGCTGAGGCGGGGTGGGGCTGTGAAGACTCAGGCCAACTGCACTGGCACTGCAGGTAATCACAGTAGCCTTAATAACTGCTACTGCACAGCTGCCCCTGCTCAGGCAAAGCAGCATAGTTTGCAACTGCACCAACAGAGGAATCTGGCCCAACCACTCAGCTTACACAAGTTGGCATTGTTTTTGCCTGAATAAAACCTTTCAGAGAGAAACTCCTGACACAATTTTCTTCTCCTCCCCAGTCATTCAAACAGAAGAGCAGAGGAAGACTCATAAAACTTGAAAATTATGATGACACAAAAGAGGTCAGGAGAACAGTTTTGTTTTACTGGTAGGAAGCTGCTTCTACAACTAAAATACCTCAGAGGTTTTAACCTTTTTGGCTCGGTAAGCAAGCTGGAAAACTCTATTTTCTTCTGCATATTCCTGAACATCACTGGACAGGAAGCTCTTTTGGCGTTTCCTGGCCAAGAAAACCATTCACAAAGAGGACAGATTAGCACCACAGTGAAGTCTTTTCACAAATCACCAGAAATGTTCATAAAATGCATGGCTCTAGCAATAAGAGAAGCTTTACCCCCAAATACCAAATCCCTGCTCAGCTCAGGTTGTACATTGCAACCTGTACTTTATTCAGCTATCAGAGATGAGCTACCTCCCACGCCTCCAAACCCAGTGTCACCACTTGGGGACAGGAATCACAAAAAAGAATTTTTTTCTGTACCTTTGTTCTTCCACAGTGTTCTTCCTCCGGGAACAAAACTGTTGCCTTTCTGTACCTGCCTCCTCCTCCCCATCTTCCTGATCTTCACTTTCCTTGTCCAGATATTTATTCCAGCGACTGACTTCTGCCCTTCCCTCCTACAACATCAGAGAATTATCGAAAACGGCAAAATACAGGGTTCTCATTTTTGGCATTGTTATATATGTGCTGAGTGCCTCAAATCCCAAGTCAGTTTAGGACACGTTCCTGTATCGTGTTCCCAGGTTCAGTATCCCAGTAGAGCAGAGTTTCCATACATCTCATTCTCTTTTCTGGAGCCTCTCTGATTATGTAAACTATTTCAGGTGTCTGAACCCATATCAAGGGACCGCTGATTCCACTTCGATTCACCCAGGTCAGTACAGGCTGATATTTGCCTTAGCTTTGTAGGTATCTTACCTGCTGGACCAAACTGTCTTCACGTTGGGCTGCTGTATTTGTGCTGTCATCTACGCACCTAAAACAGATGTTTAAGCTATAGTTTCTAGAATACACTTCTTGTCTGTTGATTTATAATTTTGAAATTGAATGACCTAGTCATAGCACAAGGGATTGGATAGAAAGTATGGATAGGAACACCAGGTAGGCAGCATGTCAGAAACAGAAGTATCTATAGAAAAGCAGATGTCAAATGAAGGATTTACACGATATATTGCCCAAATATTTGAAAAAAATCTAGTTAGAGCATAGCCCTCATTTTTTCTATACAAATAGAGTAGTAAGTTTGATCTAAAGCTGCTAATCATGAAATGGTAAATTCTAGTTGATCATAACTAGGATATAACAGCATGTCTTTTGGGACACAGCTTAAACCCACTAATTATATCCCAAGCAACCAAGGAAAAAGGGAAGTTATTTCACAATATTTTGAATTTCACAATGTTTTGAGAATAGAAATAGCAACCCTTTTTGATAAAGTGAACAAACAATGAGTTTTCTTCCCAAAGCTTAACCCTGAAACACTGCATATACGCAACTAAGTTATCTAACTAGCCTTGACTGATTTCTGAAAAAAAAAAAAACAGCCAGTAAAAAGGAAGCTGGACCAGTTCAAGATTAGGCAATTTGTAAACAGATTCAGGAATTTTCTTTTTATCAATAGCCGCAGCAACTACTCAACAGATTCACAGTGTGAAACCCCTGAATGCCAACAGTTAGGTAGCAACAGCTCAGAGTGGAGGATATTTTCCCCTCTGAGGATGCACCTCTGCACTGCTTGTCAGTCTGTAAGACAGACACCTCCACAGTCAGCTCATCAAACAGTAAATAAGAAAGACCAATTAAAAAAAAACCCGAAACCCAACCAAACCCTATTGCATATCTTTTAATGGGTAAAAGTCTGACCAACACACACTAATTGATCAACTAAACTTATCTGAAAAAATTCTCTATCAAAAGAAACATACCAGGACACTAAACCCAACAAATAGTTTGTTCCTATGAGGCGATGACAAAACTGGCCCACATCATGGCTTTACGAGAGGACAGAAAAGCCTCCTGTGAACTCAAATTAGGTAACAGGCACCCCATGTGTGAAGGCGTGCATCAACTGTGGCACATCAAAAGAAACAAGCAAATAAAGATTAAATACTCTACCGAGATGTCCAGTCGATTGCTTCCTCTGCCTCACCCTGCAGCAAGTTTAATTTCTGGACATGGTGCCTGCAGTCCAGGCCAGACCCTTGGCCATAAACCTGTAAGAAAAATAACAAAAGCAAGGCTTTGGGAGCAGCCAGAAGGAAACGGCACCAAGTGAGGCTCCGCCTCGGGTAATACTGAAGTGCAACTAGAGTTTGCACATACAGCTGAGCGTGTGATGCCCCGGGCAGGGCTCCCCGCTGCCACCCT